CCTGTGGGGTGCTGGGGATCGAACTGGGGTCGGCTTGTGCCAGGCAAGCGCCTTCCAACGCTGTACTGTCTCTTCTGGAACCCACCCTCCCCCGCACCCCTCCCCCAAAACCATCAGGGGTAATTTTCACAGGAGGCAACAGGAACCATCTGCCCTTAATCTGAATGAGACCAGGGTCAGTGCAGCACCTGGAAACACCAGTGGAGTGAGACTGGGCCGGGATCTCTGCTTTCCCACGACGGGCCCGGGGCTGGGTAGAATAGCTTGTCCCTTTGGTCAGTGCGAGGCTTGCCTTTGTCCTCGCCATTGTCGGAGACGCCTTTTCACCTGACCGAGGTGCCAGATCCTTGTCTCCATTTTTTGCCAACAACGGTCAGAGGCCTTTGTGTTCGTCCTTCACCCTGTTCTTTCAAAGAGCCCCTGCCCAGCCACCCAGACGTCCCAGCCACTGAAGGGACCTCGCTAGCGGCTGGGCCCAGGGTGTCCCGTTGGCTCCGTGGGCAGTAGGAAAGGAAAGTGCCCTTCACCGAGGCCCATCCGTATATCCCACTTACTCCACAGCCGCCGGTCCCCGCTCCTCCTGCACCCAGGGCTTCACCCCAAGGGGTGGGGCCGGCCCCTCCAATACAGGAGGAAGTGGGGAGCGGGTGTGCACCTCACTGCAGGAATCCCGGGGGTATTTACCAGCCCGGCTCACCAGCCTAAAGACCAGCTTCACGGGGAGCCTTTGGGCCAAATGGAGCCGCCCCCTCCTGGCACCTTGCTCCACCGTCCAAGGGCTGGGCAGGGCCACAATCGCCTTCTCGCTCCCCTGAAGGTTTTCTTTCCACTTTGGTGGAGTCGCAGCCGCGGGGTTGATACTGATCCACGCTTTGGGGTGGCCCAGCATGGCAGAAGTGGGGAGTGTGGGAGCGGGTCTGCCGACCCAGGCCGTCTGTCTGACTTGGCAGGAACCCACACACAAGGCAGGGTGACAAAAGAAGGGGCCTCCCCTGGGGGGACACTCTTCCTCCCTCCCATAAAGGGGAGCTCAGCTCTTGCCGGAGGAGCAAGCAGGAAGCAGTCGAGCGCTAGTTTCCAGGTGCGCCTGCAGTAACTGGCCACGCCCTGCGCCCCAGTGCCCTGTGGTGGGGCCGCGCTCGACCCTAGCACCCCCGCATCAGCGGCCACGCGTGGCGCGTGGCGGGGACCCCCATGGCCTGGCGGTGCGTGGCGAGCAGCAGGCCGGCTCCAGACGCCATCCATCAGCTGCTGCGCCTCTCACGCGGATTCCGCAGTGACGGATGGACCTGTCTTTTGTAGGAACGGGGAGCGTAGGAGAAAGCCATATGCCGCCGCCGGTACCGGCCCCCACCGCCTCTGCATTGGATGGGGGGGGGGGGCTGGTGGGGAGGCCTCGGCTGACCCCTCTCCTCCTGTGCAAGGGTGGCAACCTCCACAGCACCGCCCCATTTGGACCACAATAGAGGGTGCGCCCACCATCTCGGGAATAATCCGGCCTCCCAACCCTCCGACCGGATCCCCGTTTGTCCCTCCCCGGCTGTGGCAGACGGACCCCGGCCCATTAACGGGGCCTCCCCCCGCCCGGCAGAACACAGCTGTCGCCGCCGAGCTCATCCCGCTACTGTATCACCCCATTTTGTGGCTCTGAAGGATGAAATTGAGAAATGGAATTCTGTGCCGTCACCCTTCACCGCTCCAATTTGAGGCCTCGCCGTCATTTTCATGCCTTTATTCCAAATCAAATGACATTAGCGGTGAGCCCTGGCCTCTCTGATGGCTGTCTGGGCTGAGCCCTGCGTTCAAGGCGGGACTTTGGGGGGCTGCCTTTCATGCAGGGGGCAGGGCTTCCCCCTCCCCAACTCCCCCCCCCCCACACACACCCGACACTTTCTGTTCTCCTTTTTCTCCCGACTGTCTTTGAGCGTTCTTAGCGCGTTTGCAGTCAGAAGGATCAAGTTGCCAAGTGGGTCCCAGCGTCCTTTGCCTGTTTCCCAAGAGGGACGTGTGCCAGAGAAGGTTCCGGGGCTTTTCATGGTGGGGCAGGAGCGGCGGGGACGGGTGGAAGGATATGGGGGCTCTAATCAGAAATAAGAAGTAGTTTAAGTCATTAGCACAACAAAGCGTCCCCGAAGCTCCAAGATGCGAGTCTCCGGGGAAGGGGCCTCTGAATAAATGGGACTTGATAGATTTCCATATCATTTATAACTTCCCTTAATTACACTTGGAAGACTTGCCAGTAAAGCTGGGAAATTGGCAGCCTCGATCCATTAGCGCCATTTTGCCGACCATGGCAAGCAGCTGGCTTTAGAGGGTTTTATTCCCCACCGCTCACAATTAATCATCAGCTGGGGGTCCGGGCGGGCGGCCGGGGGCTGCGGGTCTGGCTGGAGTCTGCTGAGCGAGGGCTGGGCGGGGGCTCCCAAGAGCCTGGGACACGCAGAGGAGTCCCCATGAGGCACGGGCGCGGGGGGCAGGGGGATGAGGGGCCGGGGCGCTCGTGGCCTGCGTGTGCTCAGAGCTGGCACGGTCACCCTGCCCCGGTGTGCCGCAGGCCTGCGGCGGGTGCCAGCCTGTGCATGGATGGCACTTCCTGTCTGCTCACGGGCACTTAGGGGGGAGGGGCCCGCTGTTGCCACCGCTGCCTGGGGGAGGCAGAGGGGGAAGGGGCCGGGCCTTCCAGATGGTGCAGGGGGAGGCAGGAGGTGGCCAGAGCCCAGTGGGTGGTTGCCCCTCTCCAGTCCTGTCCCCGGTGTCCGGGTGACAGTGATGGAGGAGCCTGTCTGCGCCCCTGGGTGTGACCTGGGCACTGCGAGCTACACGGAAAGCGCAAAACAGGAGAAGCGCGTGCATGGGAGTCCATGGACATCCACATGTCCAGCTCATGCATGCATGTACACGCCTGAATGCATCTGCGCCCTGTGCCCACGTGTGCATACACACCCCATGTGCACACACGCCTGCAGGGATGTGTGCTTGTGTGCGTGCTGCCCACCCAAAGCATGTCCCAGTGCAGAGGGTGCCCTGGGCGTGCGCACGAGGCTCCTCTCCCCCAGGGACGCGGGGGTGACAGCAGTGGCTGGCCCTGCCCAGGTCAGGCCGTCTCGGCTGTCAGGGCTGGAGGGAAAGTGTCACGAGGGCAGGGCCTTGGCAGCAGGCGGCGGTTCCTTTGGGTCTGGACGCCGGGCCTGGCCTCTTCCCGGCACACTCAAGTGTCGTCACTGCAGGTCGCCGTGTTGCTGACCGGGCGGGGGTGGGGGGAGGCGGGGGGGTCACATGACAGTGCCTGGATGCAGGCAGGCAGGGGCCGGTGACCAGGGCGTTCCCCCAGGGAACCCCGGATCCACCGCGTGCCACTGCTCCTCCCCGAGCCCTCTGCTGTTCAGCCTGTGTCCGGCATCTGTCCCTGGAAGGAGACTCAAAAGCTGATCCTGGTGCCCCACAAATGGCGACACGGGTTTTCCCATGCACACATGCCCCTGAACCAGCCCTGGCCCTTCAGCTGACTGCTGGTGAGATCTGGGGCTTGTTGCTCCTGGTGGGCTCAGGGGCAGACGCGCCAGAGGCAAGCACTCCCCGCAGGGCGCCCCAGGGAGGAAGGAGCCCCCCAGTGCCCAGTGACTGCTTTGGGGGTGTCTCGGCACGTCACTCTTGCCCCGCCCTAGAAACCAGCAGCCCCCTCCACGCTGTGGCCAGTGGCTCTGGTCGCCAGGCCCGGCCCCGGAGTCCACGGCTGGTGGTCCCACAGAGCTGGGCTTGGGTCTTGGTTTCCACCCAGAGGCCATGGGCTGCCCTTTCTTGCGCCTTGGAGAAGAGTGAGATGCCCAGAGGGGACTGCCCTCCTGGGAGGCACCCGCGGTGGCCCACAGACGCTGGCGGCCCCGGGCGTGTGTCCGAGTGGGCTGCTGCCCTGGACTCGCCTCCGTGCCAGCACTGTGCTTGGCACCCTCCTCGCTCCCCAGCGCAGTGCCAGCAGTCAACACCACCTGATCAGCGCCGGGCGGGCGCTGGGTCCCCACTGCCAGCGAGACAGCTGGTGCCATCGGGAGGGCCTGGGGGGTGGTGCTTGGCAGTCACCGGGGACTCTGGGAAGGAGCCACCCCTGATAGGCACAGCTCTGGGAGGGAGGCCGTAAGGGGAGCCCACCCCCAAGCTACCCCGACAGAGCCGAGCCGACGCCTCCCTCCCTCCCTTTTCTGCACTCCACAGATGAGACTCGGTTCAGGGGGCCGGAAGGGCCAAGGGGCTCCACAGCCCCCCCAGCCCAGGGCTCAGAGCTGGAGGTGGGAGTATGTGGGTCTCGGTCACAGACCCGAGGGTCTTTCCTCCCCCGTGTGTCCGTACTTGGTTTGCAAAGGGAAGGGAAGGGGATCCCCATGACTTTGATATTGGGTTAGCCTCGTTCAGATTCACAGTTCAGATCCCCACGTGAAGGGGTGCGCCCGTCTGGGGGTGTCTCAGCACAGGGCAATCCCCCAAGGAACCCCGTGTCCCCTGCAGGCCTCTCCTGACTCCCAGAAAGCACATTGGTTTCTGGAGACATTTACTCAGTGGAAATCATGTTTGGGGGTCCCCCGCCCAGAGCCCACTCATGGTCCTAGGCTGCGGTGTCCAGAGGGTGCTCACTGCCACCCCCTACAGGCGAGTGAGGGGCCAGGCCTACTGGCTCGGCAGAGGGGGCCAGGCTGGGGGAAGTTCATCGGCACGGCTAGAGACTCTTCCTGCAGGGGTGGTCGGGGTGGTTTGTGTCACCCAGCAGTGTTCAGGGATCACTTCTGGGGGCGGTGCTTGGGGGACCATAGGTGATACCGGGGAACTAACCCAGGTTGGCTGCAACAGGCCAAGTTCTCCATCCCAGTGCTCACTTGCTGGCCCCATGGAGGATTCTTTGCGGTGCCTCGCCCAAGCCCGCCCACAGGTGTCCCCCGAGCGCCCAAGCACCCTCCATCCTGACAGGTGTCTGCGTGCCTGAGCGCCTGTCCATTCCATCTGTTTTCCAGGTGGCAGAAGGCCAGGAGATCTGTGTGATCGAGGCCATGAAGATGCAGAACAGCATGACAGCGGGCAAGACTGGCAAGGTGGGTCCCCTGCATCCAGGAGGGTCTGCATCCGGGCCTCGTCCCACACTGCCCTGTGTGCCTGCCCCTGCCTTGCACTCCATCTCCTGCCCCACCTAGCTGTCCTCACAAGGCACTGGACACCCCTCGCGTGCTCACAGAAATCTGGCGTAGGGACACTCTGGGGGAATGTCCTGTGACCATAAAGGGCCTTTTCTGCCCTACTCGGCCGTGGGCAGCCCCGTGGGCCCACTTGTGATGGGGTGGGGGGTCCCTGGGCCCGTTCCCAAGGGGCTGGGTGGTGGGTGTGGCTCCAGGTTTCTGGGAATTACGCTCTGCTATGAGGGGATGGCCTGTGAGACCATCATCCAGACGTGGGCTTCTGCTCATGGTCACATGGGCTGTTTGTTCTTGACCCTGCTGCCAAGTTTCCGCCCAGGAAAGCTTGGCATCACTGGGGGCACACTAGGGTCGGACACACATGGTCAGAGCTCCTGTGGGCTGGAGAAAGATTGTATCCCTGGGCCCCGTGCTGTGAGTCTCCTGGCCACGGGCCCTTTACTGCCTGCCCAGCAGTGGGCAAACCCAAGCTGCTTCCAGTGGTCCTGCTGGCCTCTGGGGGGAGCCCTGGCCTCCGTCTGGTGCCTCCTACCCAGCCTCTGCACAGACACCCCCACCCCCACCCCACCCACAGAAAGCTCAGAGTCCAGTGCACACCGCCAGAGGCCATCTGACTGCCTGGTGACCACAGGGGCCAGCGCCACCCCAAGACCCCTGGGCCAGAGAGCCAACTGCTCTGGCCTTTCCTTTGCTTGCAAGCTCAAGTCAGAACCTTCTAGAAGCCAAAACAACCCGCCGTGCCCAGCCCCTCCCCCACCCTCCTCCCTTGAGCGTGAAGGGAGAGGCCGGGCAGCAGCTTGCCCAAGAGCCAGAGAGACCCCCCCACTGCGCCCCGAGGCCCCTCAGGAGGCGGCTGTGGCTGGTGCCCAGCCAGCACTAGCCTGGGCCCTGGCCTGCATGCACCCTGGAGAGCTTTCTGGAACCTTCTCCAGCCCCAAGAGAGACAGGGTGGTGGCTGAATGTTGGGAACTTGTCAAATAAAAGCACTTGGGCAACCAGGAACAGCAGAAGCTTCTGGGTGGGAAAGGACAGGACGGACGGGAGGGACGGGCAGGAGCACCCTGAGAGCCCCTCCCCCGCCACCTGGCTGCTGACTCTCTCTCTCTGTGTCTCAGGTGAAGTCGGTGCAGTGTAAAGCCGGGGACACAGTGGGCGAGGGGGACCTGCTGGTGGAGCTGGAGTGAAGCATTTCCTGCCCACGCCCCCTGGCCTCCCCAACTTCAGCTGCCGTGTGTACTCGGTTCCTTCCGCACTCAGGTGATTTGAGCATTCTGCGGGGGCACCCCGGGCAGCAGATCTCATATGGTCATTATTTATTCACCACGGAGTCAAAAACCAATGGTTCTGCCAAAAAAGGAAAAGAAATACCAAAAAAACAAACTCACTCACCAATGGAAACTTATTGATATAAATACTTGTACATATGATTTCTACTTCTGCCGCGAGATTTCCCAGTGCCAACATGGAATCAATAAAAACAAGCATTTGTCTAAATATTAGTTTGCCCCCTTTTTTGTTTTTGACTGAAGACAGTCTCCATCGGCGGGCGCCCAGTCCTTAAATGTGCACGTGGGTGGATGGAGGGGATTAGCTGAGCGCGCCCCCCCCCCTGCCGTTTTTGGAGTGGAACCCCTCAATTCTGTGGTGGCTTTTTATCCTAAGGCCCTGCCAGCACAGGGCAAGAGTTTGATGAGTGTGAGCTGCCGGGCACCCCTTGGGGACCACGACGCTCCCCACCGCCCCCTCCGTTGCCTAAGACCAGGACTGGCCGCACTTGGGGGTTCCCTCGCCCTCTATGGAGCAGGTTTCCCACAGAGAAGGGGCTGAAAATAAGACGGGTGCGTGCCAGATGCAGGCGGCTTTGGCCCAGCCCGGGGTGGTGGCGTTGGAGCGCACCCGGCAGCTGCGCCGCCGTCACATCTCCCGTGCTCAGGCACTCGTGCGGCGGTGGGCGCTAATTGGTGCTTCGTGCTGGGGAGCGGTATTTTAAGTGCTGTTTGCATGTGGAAGCTGCGCTTTCTGTCAGCTTGAAGAACAAATTACTACGGTGGTGGTTCGCCTCTGAAAGGTGCAGCCCCTTCCCCAAGCTCCTCCCTGCTCCCGCAGGGCGCAGGACACTGTGCCAGCCTGTGGGTGCGCTGGGGGCGCGTCCCATCTGAAACCAGGGTGTAGCCACCTCGCTGGCTGGTAGCAATCTTTGAAGACTAACGGCGAGCCCCCGCCTCACCCCCATTCCCCACAGAGGCCCCCGTCATACTGCTTGTTTGTCTTGAGGTTCGTTTATTATCTTGTGCTATCCCAAAACTTTAAAAAAAAATTATTTTCCCTTGGTGCTACAAGTTTTTAAAAATTCACCTGCAACCACAGCCTTTGCGTTCATTTCAAATGTTATCTTCAGATTAAAAGCGAAGCCAGACACAAAAATCAAAGAAAAGACAGCGGTGGCAGAGAGGAAGAAGGGTGTTTCTCTAGGTGTCATTTGGGGAGGGGGGGTTGGAAATGACAATCCTAACTTCCTTCTTCTTCCCAGGCATTTCGCGCGAGCCCAAGTGGCGCGTTGAAAGCAGCAAGCACTATGGTTAGGTGTCAGATGGAGAGATCTGGGGGTGACCAGCGTGGCGGGATTATTTGCAAGACAGCTTGCCCCGCGCGGGCGCCCGCTGGAGGGGCGCGCAGGGCATGTTGGCGCCAGTGCGCGCGCGCGCGCGCGCTCGCTCATCTGTTCTCACGCGGGTTGTAGCGCAGCCCGTGCGCGCCCTGCGAGTCGTAATCTTCGTGGTGGGGCAGGCAGACCCACTCGGGCGGGTAGGTGGCCTTGCTGTAGAGGAAGCACTGCAGCGTCTCCTGCGGCGCGCCTGGTTCGCCGTCCAGCACGATGGTGGCCGGGGTGCGTTGGTACATGTCGGGGCAGTCCTCGAAGTCATCGAGGAAGCGCAGCATGGGCTCGTCCACTGCGTAGACCTCACCCCGCACGCAGTGGCCAGTGCCCGGCAGCTGCAGCAGGTAGGGGATGTTGTACGGCCCGGCGATCACCAGCGGGAAGGGCTCCAGGGTGCGCCCGCAGCCCCGGAAGGTGGCGCAGCCGTTGGCGCGGTCCAGCAGCAGCGCGTGGTTGGGCTGGCCGCTTTTCAGTGTCCCGTACACGAACACCAACACGCATGCCATGGCGCCCGCGCGGCTGCGGGGACAAGGGATGAGCAGCTGCGTTAGTGAGGCTCGGCCCGCCGCACCACCCCGGGATCTCGGGTTCCCAACCCTCTAAGCCGCCTTGTATTTCTATTATTGGGGTGGCTGGCTGTGCCAGCTGTGCCAACCTGTGAATGTCCGGGCCACTCCCGCTGGAGCCTGCTAGTGGAACCTGTCCACCTCCACCTGGAGGGGACCTGGCCCTGGGTCACCCCTGTCCCAGCTGGGCCCCAGTCTCACCAGAGCATCCACAGGCCCTCCTTAGCCATGCAGCTCCGGTTCTGGGGTGCCCCATGCGTGGCGCCCACCAGAACTGTAGGGGCTGCACTGGACCCTGAGACTCCTGTCCCAGGCATGGGGGTTGGGGCCTTGCCTCCCCAGGACCCCCACCCCCCCCTACCCAGGGCTGTGCTTCTCGAGCCGTTGAATTATCTAAGGTCACAGGAGAAGCCCCCCAGGATGAGCCTGGGGCAGGCACCACAGACAGATGCTCAGGGGTCCAAGAACCAGGAGCCTGTGTCTGGTCCAGCATGACCCAGAGGACTAAGGCTCCCCGCAGAGTCTCCTGGGGAGGGGGAGGGGAGGAGGACCGCTCGGCCACGTGTCCTTGCTGCTCTTCCTGGGCCCTTGGAGAGGGGTCCCAACCTGCTCACCTGCCAGTCCGCCCCGCTCTCAGGGATGATCCGCCCACAGAAGAGGGAAGCACCGGTCTGGGGGTGCAGAGGAACTCCAGCCCCTGCCCGCAAGGTGAGGGTCCCCATCCAAAGCCCCCCCACTTGGGCAACTGGGCTCAGTGGAGTCCCCGGGGAGGAAAAATGAGACAGTGCAGGGAACCCCCTGCCACAGAGGTTCCCCCCAGTCCTCCGGGGCCCAACCAGGAGAAGCACCACTCTGGAGTGTGAATTCACCCAAACCCCGAAGGAGACGGTCCCAGGCAACGCAGGAACAGGAGCAATACTTCTTAACTCTTTACAACATCAAACCCGAATAACCCTGGGCATGCCGGGGGTGGTCTCCCAAGAACAACAAAACCAGAAGCCAAAGACAATCGCAAAAAAAAAGAAAGTACGGGGCAACCTCTTTTCTAAAAGCAAGAGCAAGTTCTGAATACTGGTGAGTCAAATTCAGCAACATATAAAGTCATTTCCTCGGCGCAGTCAGGGATCTCTGCTTAAATGAAGTAGGATGGGGGAAAACCCTTGATGGGTTCCACGGATGCAGAGCAAGTACTTGAGAAAAGGTACAGGTCACGGTAAACTAGCGGTGGGGGCCAGAGCGACAGTACAGCAGGTAGGCATTTGCCTTGCACGCTGTTGACCCGGGTTCAATCCCCAGGGTCCCATGTGGTCCCCTAAGCACCGCCAAGAGTGATTCCTGAGTGCAGAGCCAGGAGTAACCCCTGTGCATTGCCCCAAAAGCAAAAAAACAAAAAACAAAAACAAAACCCCAAAAACAAAACCCCCCAAAACTGTAGTGGTGCGAGGGGGCCAGAGCAATAGGACAGTGGGGAGGACTCTTGCCTTGACCATGGCAGACCTGGGTTCAATCCCCAGCACCCCAACTCCTTCCCCGAGCCCCACCAGGAGGGACCCCTGACAGAAGAGCCAGGAGGAAGCTCTGAGCACCACCGGGTGTGGTCTCAAACAACAACAAAACAAAATATTGTAGCCGGGGCTGGAGGGAGCACAGGGCTTATGGCTTATGGTCTGGGGATGCAGACGCGCTCCCGACCTCCAGCCCCTGCCCGCAAGGTGAGAGTCCCCGTCCAGAGCCCCCCACCTGGGCATCTGGGTTCAGGTGGGCTCGACACGGAGCCGACACCAGAACCCTCCAGCCCCGAGAAGAGCTGGGTGTGGCCCCCAAACGCAAACTAAATGAACCAACTGGGCTGGAGTGATAGTACAGCGGGGAGGGCATTTGCCTTGCTACGCAGCCGACCCAAGTTCAATCTCCAGCATCCCATGGGGTCCCCCAAGCACCGCGAGGAGTGATTCCTGAATGCAGAGCCAGGAGGAACCCCTGAGCATCGCTGGGTGTGACCCAAAAATAAAAGACAAACCAAAAAAAAGGGTTTTTTTGTGTTTTTTTTTTTAAAAGCAAAAACACTGGTGAGAGACCAAGAGATCCAGTACTGATCTGGCTGTAGGGGACACTGTCCCCGTTTCCCAGGGCCACCTCCACTGCTGCAAACACACCGTGCACACCCAGGCCGGCCCCCAGGGGCACGGGACAAAGGGCCTGCAGGCAGGTTGGGGGGCACAGACAGCTGGAACAGGACACAGGACTCCAAACCCTGCCCCATCCACCGTCAGGGGAGCCCAGGACTGATTCTGCCCCGCGGCAGCCGGTGGGCTTCCTCTCCTGCACCCCAGCAGGCGGACACCCACATTATTGTCTCTCATCTGGGACCCTTGGGGTCCACCCCTGGTTTCTGCCCTGCGCCCCGACCTTACCTTTCCGGCAGCAGTCCGCACCGGAGCCCTGGGGACAGTGGGCTTGGGGTGTCGCCGGCCCCGGGGGAGAGGGGGCGTGTTCCCCCACCACCCCGCTGGCTGGACTCTGGCTGCAGCCCCGGGACACTCTGTGCCCGGCACAAAGGCAGCACTGTGGCGGGGGCCAGGCCTGGCACCCAACACAGGGGCCTGTGTGGGGCCTCCGAAAGGCTCCTGGGACGGCTCCACAGCCCTGGCTGCTGCCCCACCCCCCGCCCCGAGGCATCCCTCGGACCGGGTCTTTACCAGGCATCTCCCTGCTCAGCTCTGGCTCCCGGGCCCTCCTGCCCCCCTCAGCTGCACATTCTGTGTGCCCCCCTCCCATCCCTGCTGAATGGCCTGAGGGTCTTGCAGCACCTGCCTGGCGTCTGGGAAGCTGTCCTGGCACAGCTGCAGCCCGCTGGCCAAAGGTCAGCTCTGCCCTCCCCGGCCACTGAGGCCTCGTGGGAAGTAACCTGGGAGAGGGGCGGGAACTCCAAAGCACCCCAGCCTCACAGCCGTCCTGTGCATGTCCCAGCCGAGGGCCAGTGTTCACCAGAATGCCCCTTTGGACACGGGCAGGGGCCGGGAGAGCACCCAGAGGTGGGCACGCAGGCCCCGGACAGGAGGGGGTCCCCTGTTCCTGCCCTGGAGAGCCCCGGGTGGTGACTGGAGCAGGTCCCCCCAGGGGGAGGCTCACTGTGGCAACGCTGGGGACCCAGCTGAGGCTGAATGTGCCCTCAGGGTCATTTGGCAGCTCAGGGCGTGCCCCTCGGGTCCAGTGGAGGGGGGTACCGGCTCTCTGCTGGAAACCGGAGGGCCCCACACTGCTTGGCCTAGCGCCCCCTTTACACGAAAAAGTGACTTAGCAACATCCCCCCCCCAAATCCACCTCCTCTAAGGGGACAGAAACATCCCCCCAGTGGCACCCACAGCTGCCCATGTGCTCTGGTCTCCAGCACCCCCCCTCCAGAGCAGCCCCCCACTGGGAAACTGGTTTAAACCAGATGCAGGCTGGAAGAACCCAACTTGCAAGCCTGTGGTCTTAAGTCCAAGTTCCTGATGTACCACAAACCGCGAGCATGAGCCTGGCAGCCCTGCTGCCCACCACGTCCAGCTCCGCACCGCAGCCAGGTGTGTGCATGTGTGTGTCTGAGTGTGTGTGATGTGTGTTCGTGTGAGTTTGTGTGTATGTGTGAATTTGTACGAGTGTGAGTTTGTCTGTCTGTGTGTGTGAGTGTGTATGTATGTGAGTGTGTTGAGTATATGTGTGTAAGTGTGAATGTACGTGTGTGAGTCTGAGTGTGTGTGCATGTCAGTGTGTGTGTGTTTGTATGTGTTTTGTCAGTGTGTATATATGTGAGTGTATGTGTGTATGTGTGTATATGTGTGAGTGTGTGTTATATGTGTATATGTGTGTGTTGTATGTGTATATGTGTGAGTGTATATATGTGTGTCTTGAGTGTGTGTATGTGTGAGTGTGCGTGTGTGTGTGTATGTGTTTGTATTAGTGAGTGTGAGTTTGTGTGTGTGTGTGAGTCTGTGTGTGTTTGTGTGTATGTTTGTGTGTGTGTGAGCACCATGGAGAGTGGTATGGAGTCCTGCCAACACCTGGCCGCTCAGCACATCGGCACCAGGCTGGGAGGTTGGGCCCGCCGTAAGCACGGGCATGAGCTTTGTGCCTGGCCGAGTGCCGGCCCCCGTGTGGGCACAGCTGCAGGGGCACAGACCACAGCAGGGACCTCTAGCACTGCCTGCACCCGCTCACCCCCACGGAGACCAGCCCAGACACGTGGAGCACTGGGAGGAGACAGCGAGAGCATCCATTGCCACAGCCGGCCCTCGGCTTGGCCCGAGGCAGGGAGGGACAGGGCACGGCCTGGCACCAGACAGGCCCGGGGAAGCCTCTGCAGCCTCGGGGGGTGGGGGGGCGGTGAGACTGAGGGCGTCCAACTGGCCCCTCGTGACCACGCTGGCTCCTCTGTGGGCAGCGCCCAGAGGGCTGTCACTGAGCTGAGGCTGGTCGGCATGTTTTCCATCAGCAAGTGATGAAGTGTCGGCCCTGGGTATCGGCCCAGGGTGCTTTGTCTCACTGGCGCCAGGGCAAAGTGCATTTAGAACGCTCGCCTCGGGGACACTGCCTTCCCTGCCTGCTGGCACCACCTCCCTTCATTATTTATTCATCTTTTTTTGGGGGGGGGGCACATCTGGTGATGCTCAGGGCTTATTCCTGGCTCTGCACTCTGGAATCACTTCTGGCGGTGCTCGGGGAACCCTATGGGTGGGATGCCGGGGATGGAACCTGGGTCGGCCACATGCAAGGCCAGTGCCCTCTCCACTGCACTGTCGCTCTGGCCCCAATAGGGACCACTCCCGATGGTGGTTGGGGGACTGTTCGAGGTGCCAGGGATTGCGCCGGGGTCAGCTGTGTGCGAGGCAAAGCCCTCGACCCTGGCCCTGTCAGGGTCTCTGTTTTCCCTTGGAGCACAGGAAGACGGCGATCCCCCAGGTGGTGCTGTCG